TCCTTCTTTCTATATTTTTAATTGAATTTGCTGGAGTTTTTTTTTTTTTACATTTTATGCTTTTGAGGATATAAAATTTCCTCAGAGCAATAGATTTAGTTGCATCTCATAAGTATAAATATCATATTTTCATAATTGTTCAATTAAAATGTGTTTTAATTTATGTTGAGATTTCTTATTTTACCATAAATTATTTAAAAGTGCATTGCTTAATTTTCAGACATTTGGGAATTTTCTAGTTTTGTTTTATCATTGATTTTCAGATTATTTTCATGGTGACCACAGAATATAATTTTGTGATTGTAATCCTTTGAAATTGTTAGGACTAGATTTATGCCTCAACAGGTGATCGAGTTTGGTCAATGTCTTTGTGTTAGAAAGAAAACACAGTCTGACATTGTGGATTACAGTGTCACTTAGGTTGTTTGTAACTCATGCTGCTCAAACAGCCTACATCTTTACAGATTTTTTTTTCCTACTGGTTCTTATAGCTCCTGAGAAAAATGTATTAAAAATTCCCACTGTGACTGGGTATTTCTTCCTTCATCCAGTTTTCTCAATTTTTGATTTATATATTTAGAAGCTGTGTTATTAGCAAATATAAGTTTAGAGTTATTACCTTCCTGAGAGTTGACCCCTTAATAATAAAGAAATATTAGCCTTAATTTCAAGTCATTCTCTTGTTTCATGTCTGCTTTGTCTGATATTAGAGTATTATATTGATGTTCCATTTTCTTCTGTCCCTTTACTGCCAATCTTTCAGTATCATTATACTGAAGATGTGCTGATGTAAAACAGCATATTGCAATTGTAGTTAAGATTCACTCATTAATTTTTGTCTTTTAAATTAAGTATGTTTTCTCTTTATTTTGGTAAAAAACACATAACATTAAATTTATCATCTTAACCATTTTTAGAGAACCATTCAGTAGTGTTATGTAAATTCACATTGCTGTGCAACAGATTTTTAGAACTTTTTCATCTTGCAACACTGAAACTCTATTTCACTAAACACTAATTGTTTCTTTCACATGTAATATAATTACATTTGGGTTTTAATATATCAGTTTGATATTTGTTTTCTGTTGGTTTCATATTTTCCCCTTTTCCTCTCATTTTCTTACTGCTTTTATTCTAAAGTATTTTTGCTATTACATTCCCATTAGCTTGTTTGTTATGGATCCTTTCTAAAAAATTATTTTAGTAGTTGCAATAGACATTACAACATACAGTTAAAATACCATATAAATTATTTTAACCACTATCGTGATAATTCAAGAACCTTAAAACAATTTATCTCTACTTAGTTCCTTCTGCAGTTCGTTACCGTTGAAATGTACTTAAATTACACATATATTTTAAACTCAATAAGATATTATAATGGTTTTATATAGTGAATATTGATTTATTCTTACCCACATATTTACATTTTCCAGTGTTCTTCTTTCCTTCCTGCATTTCTTTGCTTCCATCTGTAATAGTTTTCCTCTGCCTTTATTATTTTTTTTTAGTGTGGGTCTTGTGAAAAATATTTCCAGTTTACTTTTCTGAAAATGACTTTATTTTGCCTTCATTTTTGTATGTTTTCACTCAGTATTGAATTATAGATTGGCAACTATTTTATATCAGAGCTCTGAAAATATAATTCCTTGTCTTCTGACTTGCATTGTTTTAGATGAGATCAGCTCTCACTCTACTGTAGTTCTTTTGACAGTAATACATTTTTTCTTTGATTTAAATTTTTTTCTGTCTGTAATTTTTCGCAGGTAGTGTCATGTTTTTCTTTGCATTTATCCTGATTTGGATTCAGAATTTATCATGAATGTTAGAGTAATATCTTTAGTTAATTTTGAAATGTGATTGGTCATTGCCTTTCCAAACTTTTTTTCAGTACCATTTCTCTCCTATCCAAGGAGACCCCCTATTGCATATATATTAGATCTTTTCTCCATGTCCCCTATGTCCCTTATGCTTATCTCTGTATTTTTCACACCATTTTCTCCCCATGCTTCAGTATGAATATTTTCTTCTGACATATTTTCCAATTTGCTAATCTTTTCCCCAGTGTGTCTAATCTGTTATTAAACACATTTTCGAGTTCTTAAATTTGGATTAAATTTGCCATTTTAAAATTTCTTTTCACTATTTTATGTACAGATTATAATACTCCACTATAATTATCTTGTTAATTTTAAAAAATTTCCTATAGTTCTGATTCTATTTTTTTCCTCATGAGTTTTTTTCCTTTGGAGCTTCCAGTCATTTAGTTGTATTTCCTTTATGCCTGATGATTTTCTATTGATTGCTGAATATCATATATGAAAAACGTAAAGATGATGAGGCTATGGATGATGAAATTCTTTTGCTCTAGAAAGGATTTACTTTTACACCTAAAAGGAATTAGAAGAGTGTCAGATAAACTTTCTATTTTGTGTTTCAGCTCATTCGGATCAGAATTTCAGTCTTCTGGAAGACTAATCTATCTTTGCTTCACCCTTCTCCTATAGCAGAGGTCAACAAACTTACTGCATAGGGTCAGACAGTAAATACTGCAGGCTTTGCAGGCCTGCAATCTCTGTTGCTACTCAACCCTGTCATTATAGCACAAAGCAACCATGAATAATATGTAAATTAATGGGCGTGGTGTTTCAATAAAACTTTATATATAAAAAAACAGGCAGCAGGCAAGATTTGCCTGCCCACCATTGTTTCCCAACCTCTGTCACCCCAAGATGTAGCTCTCCAGGGGTCTCCTCTCAAAACCTGAGTTATTTAACAAAGACTCTTTCTCTGTGGTGAGCCCTAAACTCCAATTTTTGTCTCACTACCTGGGTGAAACTCCCGTTGTTAGATCCAATAACCTCAGCTCATTGGCTTCAACTTAAGAATCAGCAAATACCCACAGGGGAAAAGCAGCATTAAATGTTGGGCTCACATCTCTGCACTTACTTTCTTTCTAGAAACTTATCTTCTAAGACAGTCACGTGGGTAATGCTCTGATACCTTCACAGATTTTTTTTTTCTCCTGTTTTTGGTACAAGTAATCTATCTGAGCCAGAATCAGATGAAGTTCTTTTTTTGAGTTCAGATTCACCATTGCCTTAACAAAGAGTAGAAAATAATCTTTATGTTTCGGATTCTGTCTGAAATTGTCAGACAGAAGAGTATATTCAGAATCCAGTTGGTTATTCCCCACCTTTGAATGATAATTTGTTCTGAATCTGTCCATTCTCTGCATGCTGACTTCCCCTTCTTAGTTCTCATCTGAAACAGCCTTCTAATCCTCTAATATGCCTGTCTAATTTGTTCTTTACATGGTAGCCAGAATGATTCTTATAAAACATAAATTTGAACATGTTACCTCTCCCTGCTTAACTCTGATATTTCCCCATTTCCCTTAGAATATAAAATACAAACAAAGATGGATTGTAAGTTTCTTTAATAAGTTGGCTCCCCTCTCTCTCTCTCCAGCCTAGTTTTTCAACATTTCCCCCTAAAACTATGTTACCTAGTTCTAATTAACTGCTTCCATTCCTTGAATTGGCCAAATTCCCTCTACCATAGTGCCTTTGCACATGATCTGCCTGCGTCTCTTTTATCTCTTTTAAAATCTCCCTCTTATCTTGTCTGCCAGATTCAAGTACCCTGTATTATCCCAGTGAAATTTCTTATCCCCCTTATATTGAAAATTTATGTGTTTACTTATTTGTAGTCCCTAAACTACCATGAGCTTCAAGGGGTAAGGTTATCTCTAGTTCAGCTTTAATCATTTATTAGCATCTAGTGCCTCACCCATAAGTGCTCAGTAGTTGTTTGCTGATGGAATGAAGGAATGAAACACTCGAAATATATTTACCATTATTTACTTTTCACTATGATGCTTTCATTCATTGTTCTCAATACAACCTTTTAAACTGGAAAAGCAGTATTACTTCTGTTTTTAAAATGAGCAAATGGAAACAGAGGCCAGATGCCTTGCTTGGGGCTTTTTAGAACACTTAATGGTGAGGGTAGATCTAATCTCTAGGCTCTGTAGATCTCAGGATGTCAAGATTGTGTACTCTAGTTTTCCCCCACTCACTATTTCATTTCTACTCTTACATTCTTATCTCTCTCTTTCCTTTCCCTCCCCCTATGATTATAATTAAGGCCACATTGAAAGCTAGAGAGTTGCCACCTTGATTAATCAATAGGTTGGGGATTTTTAGAGTTTATAATTCATCATCAACAAAATTTGCTTTTCCCCTTGATCCTTTTGTTAGTCTGAGCTCCCGATGCAAGGGAAGGGGATGACAGGTGGCAACTCCTCCCTCTCATGGTAAGAAAATCCAGGAGTTTGTGACAGGTTGGCCATTCATATTGGCAAATTACTTCGTAAGCAAAACCTGTGACTTATACCCAGTTTGTGAATCCTTATAATTAGGTATAGTTAATAACTTCAAAATTGCCTGGAAGATGGGGAAGGGATTCCAGGTTCACCACTATGTCACATTCTTTTGCCTCTGACAGCAGAACTACACAGTCATTTAGCTGTTAAAAAGAGGGAGGTCCTATGTGAAATCAGAAATGCAATGAGTGGAACAGTCTTCTCTGTGGTCTCATAAAGGAAAACATTAAACCATATTTAATATTTTTAAATAGCTTACCATTAACCTCCATCCTGAAATCACTTAAAGCCAATGTATATCATTTTTCATGTGTTTGTGTGGGGTGGAGAAAAGCTATCATTTTGTTCCTTCATCCATAAATTGTGTGCCATAGAATGTGCTATAGTGAATTAAGCTGTAGAGGTTAAAATCTGGAGAACAATGAGGCAGAGCAGACAGTATCTGAGGTATTTTCTAAAAACTGCCTCTTGAATGCTTCACTGTGGAGGCCCCTGGTCCAGGCAAGAAACTGGAAAAGAAGCCTGAATGGAGAGGCCAGAAAATGTTGATTTTCCTGGCGCCTGTGCTGGCTTGTTTGGAAAGTTTAAGGCTATTTCTATTCATGCTTTTTAGGTAGTATCCTTTTCAAGATGATGACCATGGAGTCCGAGAAGATGTCAGAGAAGCAGGAGGAAATTTTATCTCTCCTGGAAGAAAAATTTCCTAGCTTGCCTCCGAGAGAGGAAATTATCAACGTCCTGCGAGATACCCAATTCAATGCTCAGGGTGAGTGACTGTCCCCAACGCTCAGGGTGAGTGACTGTCCCCCAGCTCTGCCACAGCTCTCACATGGGGATAGCCAATGGTATGGGGTACTGCCAGGCCCCAGGATGTGTACTTGAGTGCACCTCCACTTTCTTTATTGTTCATGCATATTGAAGATTTTCAGGCACTTAACGTTGGTTTACCTGGCAGCAGGTGGCCTGTGCTGCAGCCTCTCCTCTGAGGCCTTCATGTCTGGTTGTGTGGTTAATTCATGCATCTAACGTGCACCCCGGTGCATCATTGCTTGAAATCCCTGTGCTGAGAGGTTTCTATTTTGAGAATGCTGCAGGAACAGTGTAATGCACATGGGATTTCATAAATCAATTAACTTTAGAAAAAAGTAAAAGGGAAGACAACTAAGCAGATAAAATTGTTCACTGAAGCCCAGAAAGACATCTTTGCTTTCCCGTCAACATGCACACACCTGGCAGGTGGCCAGGCCAGGACTTAAAAACCCAGACCATCCATCTTTAAAGTGCATGGATTTCTCCCTTAGTTCATAATCCCCGGGACAGAGCCCCAGACAAAGCAGTGTATCTGGCAGGTGATCCCAGGAGACACTAAGGGGAGATGAGTACTTTACCAAGCAAGTTAGCTCAGCAGCAAACCAGGCCTTCACCCCACTGGGGAACTCTGGGAAAGAGTGTAAAATTACACCTCTGGGTTATCCCACCCATGGGCATCGTGGTGGTTTGGAATTTGTTCATCTGAAAACCCCAAGAGCTGATTGTTAAATTTCCAGGAATTTTGTGAGTTGGTTAATGTTGGCTTGGCAGCTTGAAACCAGCTGTGGTGGAAGTATTGACACTACAGAAATTAACAGATGCTGCAAATCAGTTTTTGTTGCTGGTTGATAAACATCTGTCAGCATACCACTGGACTGCTGATTGCTGCTCAGTCCCAGGGGCTGCTAATTCCACCAGTGTAGGCTCTGGTGGCCAGAGAGAGCCCTCGGGAAAAGAGATGCAGGTGCTGGTGGTTGAGTGGCATGCTGCGTGCCTGCAGTGAAAGAGTGAGGAATGTGGATGGAGCACGGACGTGTCCGTTGCACCGTTACATATACACATGTGTGTCAATGCACGTATACCTCTACGTAGAGCTGCTACGTGGCATGCATTTTGTCATTCATTTTCAAAACTACATAAAAATTTTAATGTCACGATATATTCTATACATCATTTTATGTGGCACTATGATGGATTGTGGTTTTTCAATGTTCAAGTTAAGGAAGAATGTTAAGTAGGTGTCTGTTTCCCCAGACTACTGTGATTGACAGAGCATCCTAAATTGGGAGGGCAAGTAGTTGGTGCTGGTGTCTTAACACACATCTGGGAAGGATATACATACTTTGCCAGGCTTCATCATGGTTTGGCCTGATCAGATATAATAAACTAGGGTGAGAATTGAATGTCAAGCCAGACCCTTTCCTATTTTTCAGTGATAGATTTTACTGAAGCACATTGGTCGACTGTCTAAAAGTACAGTTCTGGATCATTTAGCTATTTTGGATTAATCCTACTGTCCTTGAAGGAATCTAATAGCTCCTATTGTCAGGGCTCATTACAGAGCAACCAATTCAATTATGATAGTTTTGTGAATCACATTTATAAAGTGCATTTTGAATTAAATTATACTTTAAAGCATAAGGGCTTACCTAAATACATCCTGAAAGGAAATTTTTGCCTTGTTAGGTATTATTTGGCTAGTTTGCATGGCTATGCTGGCTTTTCTTCATATGCCCACCTCCCCCCATTCCATTCTCTGCCCTTGTCTGCTACGGGCCTCCAGAGGTTGACCTCTGACCTTTAATCTGAGCTCCCCTGAAGATGACTGGCTTCTGGTTGGGTTTGGTCAATGGGAAGAGTTAGTAACCCATGGGACATGGGGGTCAAGGGAAGGAGACAAGAGAGGCTGTAGTATTTCTTCCCTGCTACCTTCCTGATGTGTTGTTTCTGGCAGCTCCTCATCTATAGTTCCAGACCTCTTTCCTTCCCTTGTCCCTTGCTAGGCTCCAGATGCCTCACCATCTTTTATTAATTTCCTCAGTCCCACCTACCTCTTTGTAAGTGTCCTGACATTAAACAATCTTCTTTTGCTTCATGAGAGTGAAGTGTATTTCCTACTGAGTTCCTAACTGATGCAAATACTGTCATGAATGTGATTTTTGCCTTAATATGTGTGTTTGTTATGGATAAAAGAGATATGAGAGGAAAACATTGAAGTTAACAGGGTGAGTTCTTTAAGTAATCCCTTGAGAATACCAAAAAAAAAGCTTCCCCAAGTATAACATCTTGTTTTTCCCCCTGTCATCCACAGGTTTAAGTATTGAACAGACAATGCTGAAGGACCTAAAGGAACTGTCTGATGGAGAAGTAAAAGTGGCCATTAGTACTGTGAACATGACCCTTGAGGTAAGGGTGGGAATGCTGTTTCAGCATTTTACACAATTGCAGTCTGAGCAACCAGAATACAGCGTTAGTCTTCTGCTGTGAAGGTTTCTTTGTGATATGTTTGGCTAGGAAGACAGATGATTATTTTGGGTGGAAAAATACTGTGTTAAGTCGGTGAACAAGGCCAAACCTGGATTCCCAAGATAAGTGTCATTTCATTTATCTCAATAAACTCAAGACCTAAATCACAAACACTCACATAACGTGTGTGTGTATCCTGTTTAAGCAATGATTATATGTGTGGTTAGATTCACTTTCTTTTTTTCTGTGCACTGCCCTGCATTGTCCATAGAATGTTTCTGAGAGAACAAGTTGTCCTTTGGCCTTCATAAGCTATTTGGATGCATGTCATTTTGGTAATCAATCGTGACAACCCAATATTAATAAGATCCTCTTTCCGATCTGTTAAATGAACGGCTCAGAGGGAATGTTATTCTTGTCTTTGTGTGTTTCCTTGGTAAATTACCTTTTGTCCACTTTGGGGGGTTTTCAATGACTTGTATGTTAATCTTAATTAACCTAATATGAATAATATTTTATGGAGGCACATTTGTGCTATGCAGAAGTCTGCACATTTCCCTACTGTTATTCTGCCTTGATCATGCTATCTGCCATTGATTGATGCTCTGAGCTCTCAAGTTAAGTTTATGGAGATAAAAATTGCTGTATAGGGGATTTATCTTTTGGTTTTTAGAATTGTAGGTTATGCCATTGATTGATGCTCTGAGCTCTCAAGTTAAGTTTATGGAGATAAAAATTGCTGTATAGGGGATTTATCTTTTGGTTTTTAGAATTGTAGGTTAGTCTTCTTTTTTTTTTTTTCATGATGATGGTGGCTATATCCAATATGTGTATTTCTAGGGAATAGCAGGCGTGCATAAGGGTATCCACACCTCAGAAAAACCCGAGAGCAAACCAGGTGCTTTTTCTGTGATTTCTTTGTAAAATTTATTCCCAGTTGATTGACATGGTCATTCAATTCATAGACCCATAGGAATGCCAGGAGGCAGACTGTTGTCACTAAAGGTAATCTCACCTGGTGGTTATATAGTGCCTCCTAGTTTATAGAGCACCTGCTCATTGAATGTAGTTGGCAGATTGACTCAGCTGTTTCTGTGGACTTTCAAATTGATAAATGCTCCATATAATTAGATGTTGATGTGACTCAATACAAGAAACACATGCAATTTGGGATGTAGTAACTAGATAATCACCTACAATTAGAAATCTGCTTTGTGTCTTGAAATCCAAGGAAAACATGGATCTTGCAAGGGTCAGTAGCTCTGAGAATCATTTCTCCTAGTTCAAGCCTTAGGGTTTTCTTTCTCTTTCCCCCTCCCCATGTCTCCCTTCATTTAGTGGTGTCTTATTAGGTTTTAAATGCCTTGTTTGGAATTCCTTTCTAAATTAACATAGAGTATCTTGTAATTGCTTGGGAGCTGTCTGGAGTTAGCAAATTATTTTAAGGTTATTATTATTATAGACTTACCGTAGCTTTAATGTACCTTCATTTATTTTATAGGGGTATACAAATGGCTTGTAAGATACGTTAAACTAAATGTACATCAAGCTATATAAATGATAAAATGATCATCTTAATCTTTACAGCAATTTACAGAGAGGTCCAGTAATTAATCAGGCAGTTAAATACATCTCTGAAAGTGCTATAAGATCTTCTGGGAGGAGAGAGAAGGACATTTGAACTTATAAAGATGGTTATACAGATTAAACTCTTAATGAGCTGAATGAGAGCTTTTCACTTGTGCGTAATGGGGATCTTAAAGATGACAGAGAAATGGAGAGGGAACTCCTTAGAAAGATTCTATATCTTTTTTGAAAGAAAAAATGCATATTGTTCAATATGTCAGTTGGAAAAAATCCCCAAGTTAAGGGCAGAATTTGGTTTTCTCCATAGATCATCCTATGATAGAGTGGCATGTTCCCAATCCTTACATGTATTTAATTATATTTCAGCATTCCTTTACCATTCTCAAGGACCTCGCTTTTTAAAATAATGACAGAATCCCCACAATCTTATTTTGTGTGTTTTGAAACAGCTGTCTGATTGCCCTTTAAATCTAGATAGATTCTCAAAGAAATTAAATGCATACTGTATCCTAACTTAAATATATACTCTATCTTCCATTAACTTTTAACTTGTTTCATATGTTTAATTATGGTTAGATAACATTTTAAGTTAACTGAGGGTAATGATGATATCTGACTTCTCTCACCCTTTAACTTCCTGGCACAGTGTGGGGCACACAGATGATTGGTTAATACAAATACTACATATTGGTGTCCGCAGTATGTCCCTTTGGTATCTGACTTTTATTTCCTTTGAATTTAAATAAACATCTCAGAATGCAAAGCCACCAGCTGTTCATCCAGGGCAACCTATTTTGTTCCTTCTCAATCAGTTTCTTCCAGATAACTATGGCTGAAGGCTGAGATCAGATACATGAAATATGGCCCACATATTTATAGACAGTACTGCTTATCCAGCTGTCCCAAAATGGATTGGGTGGTTTTGCAAAATAGTTGTTGTCACTGGAAGAAATCAGCTGGAGGTTCTGTGGCATGTCAGGGAAAGAGAATTCCTTACATTTTCAAAGATCCTTTGCAATGCTGCAATTCTACAGTTGTATGTGTTATGGCCTTTATTTGCCTGATGACCTAATTAATTTTCTTGGGTGGAAATATTGAGAAAATTAAAAGAATCTGTCTCCTTGACACATACACAGCATGTTCTTCAGAAGGCACTGGTTTGGGAGGCAGGAACCACTGCCTCTGGCAGAAAGGTTAACTCCAGTCCTTTGTACTATAAGGAGAAAGCAACTAAACCCTTTGCCTCTCATTTTTTTATAATACATCACAAATGATCATTGTCATCTAATCAAGATTAGAGATGCTATTGAAAGATCTACCATAGAAAGCAAACACTTATAATAATTTATAATACAGATTTTTTTCAATGCTTTTCTCCATATAGGAGGTCAGAATGAATGTGACTTTGAGGAACAGTGGATTAAAAAATGGCCTTATCAGAAGTGTGGCCCAAGGGGTAGCCCTTCTTACAGAGAGGATTTGAAAGCTAGGCCCATGGAAAAGACACTGCAGTTCCATTTCACATTGCCACTGGGCCATTCTGAGTCTGAACACAGCACTCTTCCTGTGGGGCGCACACACTCCCTATTGGAATCCACTTCTCTGGCTGTCAGTGTACCCGCTTCTTTGTGCCCTTTTCATTGCTTGCCAATTTGAGTATTAGAAGAGAAACAGGTGGTTTTGTTTCTGTTCCAACCCCTCATTTTAGTAGTGGAACCAGTAGAAATACAAGTTGCCAAAAACAAAATCCATGTTAAAAACTAAGAAGTATGAAAATCAAAAATAATAAAACCTTAATCCAAAAAAAAAGAGAGAGAGAGAATTTAGGGATATCATAGCACATGCTTAACAGGAATGAATTTTGCTTTATTTTTTTGCCAGTAGAGTGAAGTGGTGGTTACACATCCTAGGCCTAGTTTACTCCCTAGCCAAGCAGTGTATGGAGATGTTAAGAGGCAGGGACAGGTCTTTCTACTCTAACAAGATACCACTGAAGCGACCGGAGTTGCTCCTGCAGCACTACACTAAAGGGTCCCTTGCTAACACCACGCAGGATTACAGCACCTTTTAGCAACTCCTGATGGCTGTAAGTCATTAGCATCTTCCCTCAGGAAGAATACTTACCAGGCACCGAGCTGATCACTTTTCATTTTGATCAATCACATGATGATTTATTCCTGTGTACCTACTGTATCAGTTTGCTGAGGCTGCCGTAGCACAGCACCCCAGACTGTGTGTCTTAAACAACAGAAATTCATTGTCTCACATTCTAGAGGCCAGAAGTTTACGATCTGGTATCAAGAGGGTAGGTTTCTTCTGAGGCTGTGAGGGGGAACCTGTCCCAGGCTCTCTCCGGGCTTCTGGTGCCATCCTGGCCATCTCCCATGTTCCTTGGCTTGTCCCGGTATCATGTCTGCCTTTATTTTCACATTATCTCTTCTCTGTGCCTGTCTCTGGGTTCAAATTGCCCCTTTTTATACAGACACCAGTCATACTGGATTAGGGCCCACCCTAATGACCTTGTCTTAGCAATTTAATCCTCAACAACCCTATTTCCAAGTAAGGTCACATTCTGAGGTTCTGGAAGTTAGGACTTCAACATGTAAATTTGGGGGATGGATGCAATTCAACCCATAACAAATACTATTCATAAGAGTTGTCATTTTCCAGACGGCTTAAAAGAATAAAACTTATCATTAAGACTGAATGAACCTGTTGCCTGCCAAGCACAGTTCATCTTGTTACTCCCATGTGTTTTTATTTCAAATCAGTTTCCTTTAAATGAGGAACAATGGGGATTTTCTACTCTCGAAATTCTGTCCTCTTAATTTGAAGCTGGAGTCAGAGGGAATTGTTCAGGCCTGTTTTCTCTCTGGGGCTCTGCTCTGCCCAAAGCCTGGGGCCTCCTCACGGCCAGATACTCTGCTATTTGGAACTTGGGAGAGGCTCATGGGCTGCATTCTGGTAAGTGACTCAGACTGCTTACTCACTCAGCCCTATAAAGATGACCAGCCAAGCTGCACCCTGGGACACTGTGGAGGGAAAAATACCATTATTTTCCCTTCTCATTCAAAACACAGGCCAGAATGAATTGCCAAGATAACTGTTCAACTCTTCCCTAACAAAGGGAACATTTATTCAGGCTGCAGTGAAGCATTGTCGAACAACTGTAACTGGTGATTGAAGCCTGAGCAAACCAGTCTGAAATCTGGTTTACCGATTTTAAGGGCCAAATGCGATTTCTCCTAGGTGGGAGGTTTCTGATGGATCTGGTCTGGGCACAGCGTCCATCACTTCTGCTCACCTTTCATTGGCTCGGTCACATGGTCACACCTACCTGCAGAGAAGCTGAG